CAGTGTGTGATGCTCCCCTCCCTGTGTCCCTGTGTTCTCATTGTTCAACACCCACCTATGAGTGAGAACATGCGGTATTTCATTTTCTGTTCTTGTGTCAGTTTGCTGAGAATGATGGTTTCCAGGTTCATCCATGTCCCTACAAAGGACATGAACTCATCGTTTTTGATGGCTGCATAATATTCCATGGTGTATATGTGCCACATTTTCCCTGTATTTTATTAAGAGAACGGGCCACGTTATGTTGCCCAAGCTAGATTCAAACTTTTGGGCTTAAGTAATCCTCCTGCTTCAGCCTCCCAAGTAACTGGGACTACAAGGGTGTGCTACTACTCTGGCTTAAGATATTATTTTAATAAGCCACTCAGTTAAATAAAAAAGTATTTATGGGTACAGGAAAGAAATAATAATGTTAGCACGTATTTTTTTTCAACCACACACAGCAATCCAGTGAGCATGTGTTTAAGAAAACTACAGCTTCATGACTGATTTGCCTGTACTGTGTCTACATAAAGTCATGTATAACTTCAAAGCTGCAAAATGTGGATTCAGAGATGGCAATTTTTGTTAGTAAGATGCTAACGAAGAAGATATTCTTCCTATTCTTTATATATATCTGAATACCAGTTTTCATAGCTGTAACAGTGGAAATCATAGCATCTTATTTTATTTATGAAAGGATTAGTGATAATGTGTGTAAAATACTTGGCATGTAGTTGAGCAATAAATTATAATTATTATCATTTGTATTGATCAGGTACTTAACTGTGAATAAGAGGGCAGACACATTAGGATATGTCACCTTATTAATAGCATTATTCCTTCAATACAATCATTCTGGATTTCTTCCAATCTTTAAGTCAGCTTTCAGTAACATTCAGTAATATGAATTGCTGCTTTGCACATTTGCATAAAATTATAGCTGTTCTTTTTGCTTGTCCTACCTCCTGCTGACTCATAGAATCAGCTTTAAAATAGACAAGCTACATTTATTTTTTGTAATGCTGCTACAGCAATGGATTAAAATAATTCTGATATGCCCTTAATAATTAAGGCTGCATACAGACTTTGTTCTAATTGAGAAATAATTCACAGATAATAATTTTGGATAGCTGGGAACTATTAACAGGCAAAAGGTCTTTTTTATAATTTCTCTTTCCCTTCCTTCTTTTTGTATGATTTTAAAGGCAAACTCCAGTAGTATAAAAATAGACTCTATGTCAATAAAAATGGTTTGAAAGAAAAAAATTATGCAACTAGTTTTCCATACGTAATTTGTTAAAATCTTGATTCACAGAAAACATAAGCCAGGAGATACTCAAGGTGTAAAATTTTTTCTCATCTTGATTCACAGAAAAAATAAGCTAGTAGGTATTCAAAGTGTAATTTTTTTTTCTCATATTGCAGCAATGCACCGTTACACTTTTATTCTTTTGTGTCTCTATTCTTTGTTCCCCCAATCACATTGTAAGGTCTGTGGGGCAGGATCAATGTCTTATTGTTTTTGTGCCCCTTTCAAGTGCTTATCACAGTGCTATGTAATTGCTGATGGGGAAACTGTCTTTAAATGTGGTGTGTATAGTATGATCTTATCACCAGAAATATTATACTTACATGTTCAAAATCATATCTATATATCCTGCTAAAACCTATTAGGTTATTGCTCCTATTGTAGCTAAATTATTTATCTAATTACAAAAGCAAGGCTGCTTTCTCTTAGCAACATTTTTTCTTCATCTGAGTGATATCTGGGCATTTAACTCTACTATTCAGCAGGGAATTATCCAGGTTTCTGAATGCTCATGCTCTTTGTTGGTGGTACTGTTTGCTTTACCAATGTGCAAGTATCAATGAACCATAATCATTACTTTCATATGTGTATTCTAGAATTTTACATGGTTCCCATCTCCACACATAGCTGTTCATTCTTTTTTTTGTTTTGTTTTGTTTTTGAGACGGAGTTTCACTCGTTACCCAGGCTGAAGTGAATGGCGTGATCTCGGCTCACTGCAACCTCTGCTTCCTGGGTTTAAGCAATTCTCCTGCCTCAGCCTCCCGAGTAGCTGGGACTAAAGGTGCGTGCCACCATGCCCAGATAATTTTTGTATTTTTAGTAAAGACGGTGTTTCACCTTGTTGACCAGGATGGTCTCGATCTCTTGCCCTCATGATCCACTCGCCTCGGCCTCCCAAAGTGCTGGGATTATCGGCATGAGCCACCGCACCCGGCCATAACTGTTCATTCTATTGGCAAATGACACTTCTAACAGGTAGTTGCTCTCTATGGGGCTAAATTTGTATACAAATAATTTGTGCAGATAGTAACCTTTTCACATTATCCATCTCTCTATATATATCTATATGTGTCTGTCTTTCTATCATCTATCTATCTATCTATCTGTCAGTTCATCCACCTATACACCTATCTCTTCATTCATCATTCAATGTATGTGCTAGGTACAATAGGGATTAAAGAAGGCACAAGATTTAGTCTTTTCCTAATGCAACTTACCAGCTATTGAGGAAAAAAATACGTATACATAGAGAAGAAGATCAGAAACCATAGTGGTGCGAGATGTCACAAGTAAGTGATACGAGCTCACACACTGTAGATGATCCAAGAAAGATATTTTGGGCTGGAATGATGTGGTATGTTCTCTGAGTCTGAGAGTGATCTGATATAAACAAAAAGCACAGGACAATGAAGTGCAAGACTAGGTTTTTACCTACACAACTTAGTATTGGAACATTATGAGTTGGGCTTGCTGAACTTCATTTTTCTTATCTGGAAATTAGGAATAATAATCATGACAATACCTTCTCTACCTTTTTCTTTGATTTGTGAATTGTACAATCAAATAAAATTTTATAAAAAGTTCTGAGAATATTAAAGTGCAATCCAACTTAAGGATGTGTTTTAATTTTTCATCAACTATCACAATGTTTCTGCTCAAATATTAATAATTTAAGAAATATTAAAAGCTCAATAGGAAGAAAAGAGCAATGCTGGTTATGTAATATGTGTGTTTGCATGTTAATAGGAAAAGAAAAACTTCAAGCTGGTAGCATGAAATCTGCCATGGTGGGAATATTTACACCATAGAACTCAGCAAACACTACAAATTGGGGCTTTCCTTTTTGGAGAGCTGTTTACAAGCATATTACTGGCCTGAACAAAGGCAACAGTAATGGGATTGGAAAGGAGGAAATACATACTAGAGGGATGAATGAGGTAGAATCAGCAGTTCTCATCATCAGTTAATGGGGGGGTGGCATGTCAATGGAGAGATTCTAAAATGATTGATCAAGTTGTTGGCTTGGATGATTAAAGGGGAAACTTGTGCCTCTTACCAAGAGAAGGACTTCAAGATGGGGGATTCCCTGAATTTTGTTCAGGGAATGTTGAAATGGAAGTACTTGTGGGACATGATGGTGAAGATGTCCAGAAGACAGTGGTTATATGAATATGGAACTCAAAGGAGAGATCTGGATTCAATATGGCAGTCATGAGGCTGTAACTAATAGGAGTCATGGGAGTGGATGAACTCCACAACAAATGGGCCCTGGGAAAGGCTGCAGTTAAGTCTTTATGTTTTATAAAGTAATTATAAACCATGCCTTTTTGTTCAAAGACAGTTTGAATACGTGGGTAATGTTTCTTTGTAAATCCTGCTTTTAGAAGTAAAATTATCACTCCAATGTAAGTGAGTTTTAAGGAAGATTGGCATCTGATGAAAAATGTTATGGATTTGATTTGTAAGGTCTTTACAGCAAGAGTTATAAAAATGATATCTGAAAAAACAACAAAAAGTTTCTTTAATATCCAAAAGAAGTTTATGTCAAACAGTTGAAAGAACAAAAATATTCTAGAACAAAGAGGGAAACAAATTATTTTAGAAATCAACTTATATAACGTCTATCTTAGCCCCATGTTGTAATTACTTACCACTTTGCCTTATCTTTGGGGCCAGTGGGGGCTGGGGCACAATACTGTGTCTTTTATTTATGTTTAGGGCATTGTACATAGTATATACTAAGGAAAAAATACTTGTTTATTCCATGCCAGAATGGGAGGTTTGAACAGATAACCTGGAAGGTCCCTTTCAACCTTTAGAGTATCTGAAAAGGCAAGTGGTTATTACTTACCGCTTAACAGAAGTAGGCTTAGTCCTACTTCCAGAGAGCCAATATTTTCATAGTTACAGAAAGGTAATAGACCGTCAGCTCAATATTACACTGGTAAGAATTTTCTAACAATTACGGCTAACAGAAGAAAGACTGTCTCAGGAGGTGGTTAGCTTGGAAACAACTGGTATTTAAGGGCTGGAAGGGCCCTTAGAAATCGTTAGTTGTTTCTAATCTTTTTCATGCCATTGCCTATACAGAAAATGGTACTTCTATAACAAATAAAAATCGTACAGCAATATTTGTCACATGTTCTCGGGCTTTGGAAGGGAAACTGATTTAGGCTAATATCCTCATTTGCAGAAGGGGAAACCATCTTTGAATCTTCACGAGGGAATGCAATATTTTCAAGTCAAGACGTTAATGGAACTAGAACTGAGACTAGAGACTGGACAACTAGCCAATTTCCTCTGCTCAAATTAAGCAGGTTGGGGGTCAGACTGAAGACTGCAGCAGATGGTAGAATAAACAGTCTAAAGCCATGTTACTTTAAATTTGGTCCCAAGACCACGGACATTATAACTTGTTAAACTCTGGGGAACTCGCTAAAATGCAGATTCATAGGCCCCACACGGAATTAAGCTCTGCTGTAAGGCCTTGGAAACTGCATTTTTAAGTTTGCGAATCCCCTGCTCTCCTGGTACTATTTCTGAACTCCGAGCTGCAGCCCTGGCTTGAACTGAGAGGCTCGGCTGGGCGCGCAGCATCCGCCGCCCGGACCTCGGCGTCCTGGATGCAGGGCTGTCTGTTACAAGGACAGTCCTTAACGGACAGTCCTTGTGGCCGTCACGGGCGGACAACGGTCAACGCCAGGCCGAGGTGAGGCCGCCGCTGTCCCTCCATCACCTTCCTGGCCCGGGAGGGGAAGCCACTGCTGCGGGCGTCTGGGGCCAGAGGCAGCTCAGCAGCGCCCCGTCGAGGCCTGAGCTCTCCCCAGGCTAGCTGCTTGCGGTTTCCCTTCATCTCGCGGATCCTCTTCCGCCACCCATCGGGGACAACGTCTGCGCCAATTCTGCCCTGCCCCGCCCCCGTTCTGCCGACCGGATGTTAACAACTTTCCCATAGTTCCTCGCGAATGGCGGGCCTGATAGCGAACTCCGGAGGGTCGCACGCGAGTTCTGGTTGTCAGTGTTGGGGTTGTTCTGTCGTGTCAGGAGGCTCTCCGAAATTGGGGCCCGGTGTCTGCCTCCTCCGCTAGTGCGATGGCGTTTCTCCGAAGCATGTGGGGCGTGCTCAGTGCCCTGGGAAGGTCCGGAGCGGAGCTGTGCACCGGCTGTGGAAGTCGACTGAGCTACCCCGTCAGGTAGGCCAGCTTACCTGTGCCGTAAGGGGCGGCAGGGCCCAGGACGTCCAGGGGCTGGAATGTAGACCCTGTCCTCCACTTTCTGCCCCTCCTAGGAGTTCAGAGCCTGCCTGGTTCTTTGATTCAAACCTCCATCTTGCTAAGGGGACGGTGGCTTTGAGACCAGGCCTTAATCCCTTGTATCTTGTTTCCTGCTACCCACCACTCCCTCTTCCCACCCCTCCCCACTGTCCGGCTTTGGACCCGTTCCGCCTCCTCTGCGAATTCCCGCCGAGTCTCCAGAGATCGTCAAGGCATTGAGGAGGCGTGGCCCAGGAGCTGGGGTGTAGACGCTTTCCTCCGGTCCCTGCCCTTCCTAGGAGTTGAGAGCTTTGAGACTTCAGTCCCGCAGACGGTTAGGACGGGGTTTTAATAAATCTCTAGCATTCTTGTTGAAGGTGTTAGATACATAGTATCTTTATGACATCTCTTATTTGGGATCTATGTTCATATACATGTGAATATTGACAGTTAAACATCTGACATTGGTTATTTTCTTTTTATTTATATGTAGTTTTGTTTATTCACCGAAATGGTTTTCATCTGTCGTGGCACGTTATCCAAAGAAACCTGTAAGTTCTTACATTCGATTTTCTCAAGAACAACTACCCATATTTAGAGCTCAGAACCCAGGTAAGGAGTTTTGGGGCGTGTACCCTTTTCTCATGTAATAAAAATGCCACTACGCAGTTTTAATAGCAATGTTGAATTGCAGTACTAAAGCATTCAGTGACTGCAGGAACAATCATTTGATGTCTGTAAAATAGGAAGTTCTATTTTATACCAAATAGAAATGCTTTAAACATAAATGAGAACTAATAAAAGGTATTTTTAAAATAACATATAGTGTAGAAAGCACCCTAGGAAGAGGATAAAACTGAAGTTGGGGCCTAGTTGCCTTTGGTCTAGAGGACCACTGATGAATTATTTTCTCTTGCTTAGCTCCTCCTTTTTCTGCCTCAGGGAATTGTTAATAAAGGTGCAGCTTCTGTGGAAGCATCCATAAAGTATAAAGCTCTATGCAAATTACTGCTAATTTCAAGAACTTTCAAGATAAGAAAGGTTAAACCTTTCCATCCTAGGAGTTTAGAGCCATCCTGGTTCTTTGATTCAGACCTTGACCTTGACAAGGGGTTGGTTGGTGGGTTGTAGGGTTGTAAAGGATAAATCCTTTATTGTCTTGGGTTCCAATAAAACATTTCCAGGTAGGATGTTTATTGACTTCCTAGAAAGCCTGTAGGGCTCTTATTTTAAGTTAGAGTGTAAAGATAATAGCAATTTTTAAATTTTTATTTCTAAGACATCACAGGGCACTTGTGAAAATCTAATGAACTGTAATAAAACTGCTCACCTTAGGCTGGGTGAGGTGGTTCACACCTGTAATCCTAGCACTTTGGGAGGTCAAGGTGGGTGGATTGCTTGAGCCCAGGACTTTAAAACCAGCCTGGAAACATGGAAATCCTGTCTGTACCAAAAATACAAAAATTACCTGGGTGTGGGGGCACGGTGCCTGTAGTCCCAGCTACTTGGGAGGCCGTGGTGGTAGGATCACTGGATCCCTGGAAGTTGAGGCTACAGTGAGCCATGATTGCTCCACTGCACTCCAGTCTGGGTGACAGTGAGATCCTCTCTCAAAATAATAATAATAATTAATTTTTTTAAAAAAGCTCACATTATAGCTAAGGAGTTAGTTTCAGAGACCTGCTTAAGTACCCACATCTTTTAAATGTAAGAGCTGGTACTAACAGGTGTTTTTAAACATCAGCTGCTACAAAATTAGCTGGGCATGGTGGGGCATGCCTGTAATCCCAGTTACTCAGGAGGCTGAGGCAGGAGAATCGCTTGAACCTGGGAGACGGAGGTTGTGGTGAGCCATTGCACTCCAGCCTGGGCAACAAGAGTGAAACTCTGTCTCAAAAACAAACAAACAACAACAAAAATCAATTGCACGCCATCATTCTAGTTAAGATGAAGAAGGAAGTGGAGAATAACAGGTTGAATTTCAAATAGCTTTTCAGAAAAGTGTTTTTGATTGAAATATGGAAGTAAAAAACTTGAAGCAATTGATCATCCATCTTCTTTAATTAGTAATCAGCCTTGTGCAGTGGCTCACGCCTGTAATCCCAGCACTTTGGGAAGCTGAGGCAGGCAGATTGCTTGAGCTCAGGAGTTTGAGACCAGGCTGGGCAACATAGTGAAACAGTGAAAATACAAAAATTAGCTGGACATGTTGATGTCTACCTGTAGTCCCACGTACTTGGGAAGCTGAGGCAGGAGAATCAGTTGAGCACAGTAGGAGGAGGTTACATTAAGATGAGATTGTGCTACCGCACCCCAGCCTGGGTGACAGAGCCAGACCCTGTTTCCAAAAAAAACACACAAAACCTAGTAATCAAACTGTAGACTGTTTCTCATGGTATATGATATACTCCTTAGCAGTTAGAGAATAGACTTTTAATAATGTTGGATAAATTACTTAACATATTTAAATTAGTTAAATAAGGGAAAGTTAAATCATTGTATAATGTGTGGTATGGATTGTGCTTTCTTGGAAATATTTAGAAATTAATCCTAAGACTGTGCTTTCCTGGAAATCTTTAGAAATTAATCCTGAGATGTAAAATTGTGGCATCTTTTTTCATTTTATTTCAATCTATAGATGTAAAAACTACAGAACTAATTAGAAGAATCGCCGAGCGTTGGAGGGAACTTCCTGAGTCAGAGAAAAAAGTAAGCACATAAGTTTTCAGCATTGCTGACCAGTTATTCAGCAGTTAGGAGCAGTTGTCATGTCCTTTAAAGGACCAGATGAATCAGACCTTTAAAAAATAATCTTGTTATCTGGACTAGTGTGATATCTTCCAGGAAGAAAAAAAATAATAATAATAATCTGTTATCTACAAAGAAACTTTATATCTTCTGATCTACATAAATAATGAGAATATGGATGTATGGGGTGGAGGTGAAGAAGTGGCAGCAGTTTGAAAATGGAGGCTGCTTACTAAACTCTCACCTTGATTAGTATGTATAAGGAAAATGCGTGTTTTAATCCAGATACATCTCATCCCAGATCACATTTTCCACCTGGTGATAAAATCTGTCTATTTGAAGTCATGTAGTTGCCTTTCCCTGGCACATGCTATGTTGAATTTGCCAGCAATGGTTTGTTGACTTAATTTGGATTTTTTATTTATAGATATATGAAGATGCTTATAGGGCAGCCTGGGTGGTATACAAAGAAGAGGTGAACAGAATTGAAGCAAAGCTAACTCCATGTGAGATTATGTCTTTGAAAAAAGAAGTGATAAACAAAAATTTAAAAAGGAAACTTGTGTTAAAAAAGAGAGTAAGTGTCATTGAAATACTTTTTTTGTTACAGTAAATATTTGAGATTTATATTACTACGAATATAGATAGTTTTCTCTTAATAATAATAATAGGCAGATACAATATGGTAGAATGTTATTAGGTATTCTACAGTTAGGCAAAAGTGGGATAGTTCTCTTCTGAAAAGTGAGATAGCCGCTAGGACCACTTGTCATTGAGTCTGTTTGGAAATCCTTTTTGCTACTTTCAGATGTATCCACATTTAAGGTATACAGTTAGTAGAACAGTAATGAAAACTATAGGAACAGAGAATAAAAGTTGGAATTGTTATTGATTATAACCAAATCTTTGCTTCCGAGCTTCTCTAGAATAACCTATTAATTTGAATTGTTCTATAGATTATGGTGAGTGTGATATGGAATATTGCCAAGTATTCATTAATTCATTAACACATCAGAAAAGTGCCAATTTATCTAATCAAGTAAGTGCCTTTAGGACGGAATTTTTTTTTTCTTCAAAGGAACAACTATTAAAAACCTCACATGCTTCAAAATTTGTAGTTCCTAGCTTAGTGTATTAATTCACATAAATGTCATCGTTTGAAAGTTACACATTTATTTCATAGAACCAGTATTGTGAAGTGGTCAGTTTGCTAGTCATGTACCTACACTATTACAAAATGATCATCAGAGTTAAAACTATTTCTTTGAAAGACTGGATTACAGCTTTGAATGTGAGATGCTAATACATCTTTCCCTTACCCTAATGTTTTAAGCTGTCCTAGCACTAGGGTTAAGGACCTGCCCAGTTTCAAGTCCATGAAGCTGTTGCTTTAGGGTGACTGATCTAATTAGTAAAAGGGAGCCAGAAGATATATTGAAAGTGAAAAATAAGAGTACCTACATAAGGATGGTATTTGGAAGAGTGATTACTAAAGTATGTTCTCCCTGTTTCATTCTTCCTTCCTCCTTAATGCACCCAGCCTATGCTAAGACTAGAGAGGACCAGACATGACAATTGGGCATTTATAAAGTTTCCTTTTCCATTCTGTCTTTTGTAATTGTTCTTCCTGTTAAAGACTCCCAGTACCAACTAGTTCAGAGATCAGGTGAGAAGTGTGGGGACTAGGAAGTTACAGCTAAAACCCTTAGGAGAGAAATCCCTTGTGGTAGCTCTAGAAACAAAGAGGGAAATAGTTAAGTTGTAAAGTGCTTAAAGTCTATAGTAGTTTCAATACTTAGTGACTGAGAGATTCAGGAAGAAGAAACTAAATCAGAGGATTCCTGCTTATACTTATGAATAAAAGTTGGAATTGTTATTGATTATAACCAAATTGCTATTAAGAGCCACAGAATTTTATAAATTATAGATACTACTTACTATCCAAATTCAGAAACTGAGTATGATAATGCAATATCACTCCCTGAACTCAGGAACTAAACTGATAGTAAGGGATACTTGTATTCTTTTCCACAGTTTCTTCCCTTTTGGTAACTAGTAAAATTGGAATTAACACAACTTTAATTCCAATTTTAAAGCTTTAAAGGTAGAGACATTCAGGGAATGAAATGAGATGAAAGATTATTAAACAATAGTCCAGTGTTCGTGGGTTGTGGTGGAAGCATGCAGTGATTTGGTCAAGGGGACGTAGTGTCATGCAAGGATGAACTGAGGTGGTTTTATCTTTTAAACAGGTTTTGTATGTATATATTCAGTTATTTAGTTCGTGGAGATTATGAGAATAATAGGTAAAGGAAATGGTTTTGTATGGAAAATAACTCATAAAAATCTAATATAATTTTTAAAACACCACTGTCCAAAAATTCTGACCCCAAGATGTAATAATTGCCCTATATAAGAATCATAACATTCACTTTAAGGGACATTCTGTAAAGTTGTTGTAGTGAGTAAAGTTTCTTTAGGTAAAATTAAGTTTCATGAAGGTTAACACTATTTCTGACCCTCCACTTTTTTTTTTTATTCAGGAGTTAGCACTGCTTGGAAAACCAAAGAAAGCTCGTACAGCTTATAACATTTATGTAGCTGAATGCTTCCAAGAAGCTAAGGAGGGTACACCGCAGGTAAAGCTGAAATACATTTTTTTTTAATTTTTAAAATATTTAGACAGGAAAAATACAGGGTGCTGTGTCAGGTGGTGAAGAAAAGTGGTGAATTACAGACATTAAACTCTCTAAAGGCCCTCTTTAAAGAAAAATCTTTTTCTTACCACATACAATCAGTTTGGGTATGTAGTTGCCAATACATATACGTAGATAGCCAATTTTTAAAATTTAAATACTTACATTTTTAAAATATGTAGGGATGTTAAAGTTCTTCTGGAGGTTTTGCTGGTCCAGCAGTTCTTAACTGTTTTACAATCATTACAAAGAATGAGAGTAGAGCTGCAATATTTTCTATGGGGAATTGATTGTAACCTATTGCTTCATGTTATATCTTTTAATAAAATTTTGGTTATGCCCATGGGGATATATTATACATGTGAATGTCATCATATCAGTGTGTCAAAGAAAAAGGAAGCTTGTCAATCCCAGCTGTGGCTTAGTCTTAACTAATTTTTGGTACTTAGAAGCTCCAAATGGGCAATTGCTTTTTTTCTTGTATCATATGACCTGGTAAAAGAAGTGGATGTTCAGATCCTTAACCCATGTTAATATAAAATGAAGTTTTTGGCACTCTGCCTTCAGGATTATTAGATTTGTTGTTCATTTTAGAAATTCTGTTTCCGTATCCCTAAGTAACATTCTTATATTGTTGCTTCTTGATTTTTTTCAACTTTAATCATTCTTTATCTTATGTTTTAAGCATTACCTCCACTGTTTAAGATAGACATTTAACTGTCATCCCACTGTTCTCATGTTTGCATTCTCCTACCTCCCAATATAGTTATCGTGTGTGTTTATATTAGGTTGGTGCAAAAGTAATTGTGATCTTTGTCATTAAAAGTAATGGCAAACACAGCAGTTACTTTTGCACCATCCCTATATTATTATTATGATTATGTAAGCCCTGTTCACAGCTGAACTGTCATATGCTATAATTATTTTTTCTTTCTTACAAAACTTATTTTCCCTGAAGTTGATTATGTCTCATTGTTCACTTAGGGTTTTTTTTTGGTTTTTTTGTACTTACCAATAATTCACCTTCAAACTCCTCAATATTCACCAGCTTTTAGTAAATTTAGGAAGTATTTTTCCTTCAGTTTGATTCTGAAAACTGGGGTTTGTTCCAGTTTGACTGTTGCTTTCTAATCCTAGTATACAGCTAACATCTTGGGATCTCCCTCATTATCCTTATGGTGCTGCTTTTGCTTCTGTTGTTAACTTTTTTGGTTTACTCTGATTCCTGTATAGCATCTTCCCCAGTAAGGGTGCATGGGAGATTAAGTTTTTGAGTTTTGCATGTTTGAAAATGTTCTCACGTTCATCTGTTATACTGGGCATAGAATTCTAGTTTGGAAAACATGTTCCTTCAAAATGTAAAAATTTCTTTTCTACTACCTTATTGTACTGCTTTTGATAAATTTAAAACTGTTTTGATTATTGGTCCTTTGAATATGATCTGACACTTTTTTTTCCTCTCCTTTAGAACTCCTTTTACTTGTATATGCATCTTCTGAGCTGGTCCTCTAATTTTCTTATTTTTTCTGTAATGTTTTCCTTTAGCCTTCTTTGCTTTTTTTTCCCCCTGAGCTACTGTATACATTTTAACTTAATCTCTCTACTTTTAGCATGGTACCATTTCCCTCAACTGTACCTGGTTTTTAGAGAGTGACACTATTTTACTCTCTGGAGAGGATAAATGTCCTAAAATTTGCCATGGTAGAAATTTAACCTTTTTTTTTTTTTTGAGACAGGCAGCCTGTTGCCCAGGTATAGTACAGTGCACGATCTTGGCTCACTGCAACCTCTGCCTTGCAGGATCAGGCGATTCCTCCACCTCAGCCTCTCGAGTAGCTGGGTCTACAGTCACCAAGCCTAGCTAATTTTTTTGATAATTTAGTAGAGATGACGGGCTCACCCTTATTACCCTAGGCTAGTCTCAAACTCCTGAGCTCAGGTGATCCACCAACCTCAGCCTCCCAAAGTGCTGGGATTACAAGTGTGAGCCACTGCACCTGACCTAATCTCTTTTGAAACAGTCTTTCAACCAATCTTGTGTTTAACCTTAGCTTCACCTGTTTTACACCTATCTGGTGCTGCCAATTCCTACGATATTTGGGAATTATGTATTATTGTAAATCAAGTTGCTTTTAGGTTTTCTCCACTGCCAGTTTTACAGTTAGCTTTCTTTCATCAATTAAGTCAGTTGCCACTAATGCATCTGCTTTTCAGCTTCCAGAATTTTGTGTTGATAGTGCCCTCTTCTATTATCTTTGTTCATGTGAATTTATGCCTTAAAAGGATTTCTTTGTTTAATGGAATTTTAGAGGGAGCAAAAGTCAGCATCTTTGTCTGGGCACTGTGGCTCAGGCCTGTAATCCCAATGATTTGGGAAACTGGGGTGGGAGGGTTGCTTGATTTCAGGAGTTCAAGACCAGCCTGGGCAACATGGTGAGCCCTCATCTTTACAAAAAAGTTTTTAAAAATATTAACCAGGCATGGTGATGCACACCCGTGGTCCCAGCTACTCCAGAAGTTGAGGCAGGAGGATCACTTGAGCCCAGGAGGTCAAGACTCACGCAGTGAGTTGTGATCATATTACTGCATTCCAGCCTGGGTGACAGAGGAAACTTTGTCTCAAAAAAAAATGTTCTCTCCCTTTAATTTTATAAATCAAGAGCCAAGCCCAAGGGAGGTAAAATGACCTTTTTCCAGGTCATATAATTAAGTTCAGCTAAGTAGATTTGCTGGATTTGTGTTGTGTTATTCCTATTACTGTATCTAAACATTTAAGCACAAATTTTCAAATAAAACATAAAGCTACAGGGAAGGAGTAAAAATAGACTTTGAAGTTTGTTTATGACAACGTATAGATTATACCTGAATGTTAATATTTCTGAATCAAAAATAAGTACCTTATTCAATTTGTTTTTGTAAATTTTAACAATTCAATAGTTTTTGTTTAGAGAGAAAAGATGTTAAGAACTGATGATACTTTGCCTGTAATTCTTGGTATCTGAGTTTTTGTTGTTGGAATGAATAATAAAGGTCCTTAATCACTGAAGTCCCTTAACTGCCTTAACTTAAATATATATTGTTTTACAGAAAAAGCTGAAGACTGTAGTTGAAAACTGGAAAAATCTGTCTAGTTCTGAAAAGAAAGTGAGTATTATGGTTGTTAGTCTCAAGTGTCTAGTTAGGATATCTATGAGAGAATATATTAGGGCAAGTCTTGATTCATGTGAGGACAACCTTATATTACTAGTAATACAGGCATTCTAAAATTATTTTCATATTCTTAGAACCAATTTGGCATTTTTCTCTTGGTAATTTTTATCTGCAAATAAAATTGGTATTTGAAACCATAGCACTCATAAGCTCGAGTGTCCACTGTATTGAGTGGCAGTCCTACCCTGCTGCTGCATACCCTGCTATCCCTTCCTATACCTCAAAATCTGAACTTGTAACAATAATTTCAAAGAGGTAACAGTCTATCTCTTTACATTTTCCTCATCTAACTTTTATCTCATGAAAATTTCTTCTCCAGTCTCCCTTTATACATACAGAATGGTAGTGTAATTTCTAAAGTATATACAGAAGCATTTCAGAAATTAATTGCTATTTTAAATACTAATTTTATTTTAGTAAATAAGTAAATCATTTTAACAGTTATGCTTTTTCTCAGATATATGTTCAGCTTGCTGAAGATGATAAAATTCGTTATGATAATGAAATTAAGTCTTGGGAAGAACACATGATTGAAGTTGGGAGAAAGGATCTTTTACGAAAAATGAAGCAACCATCAAAAGATGACACAGACTTCTTAGACGATTGAGATGTGTTCACAATGGATAGGCACAAGAAACCAGTTAGGTCTCAATACCTGAAGCTATTATAAAATTAGAAATTTCTTTTTCTTCAGCTCATGGACCTCTGCCAGTGTAATACTTGCTTTGGAAAACCCAGATAAAGGTTTATGCAAAATTTATTTTGTATTTAGGAACTACTGAGGATAAAAGTAATCCATGCAAATGTGAATTATTTTACCTTTGATAAAGGTAAATCAGACTATGAAGTTTTTTTTATACAGGATGATGTAAAGAGTATTCTTGTTTCCTTATATTATGGAGGCAGGAGTTTCCTTTTCATAATTGTTACAAACTGTAGAAGCCACAGTGTTCTGTGATATAATCGTGCATTTTTCAAAAAGCAGCCTGAACTCACCTAGGTAAATTCCAGTTTCTAGGTATAATTCATATTATATTCAGAGTTGATGGTTGTACATGTAAGTGATTGCTAGTTTCAGTTGCAACTTTTTATAAAAGGGGCTGAGAAATTTATAAACCTTTTTCTCACTGTCTTTTTTCTAAAGTAAATACTAAGAAATTATGTACCAGATCTATTTTATGTTGCATAGAATCAAAATTTTAATCTTTAATTTTCATTTTCTAATTATATCTTTTAAGATGAAACATTTGTTTCACAGCTTTTTTCTTTTTTTTAAGTAAGGAATTATATTTTTTTCTGAATTATTTTCTCTCATGTGAGTATATTGATCAGAAAGAAAACTTGTATATATTTTAAAATGAGAAATCTAAAAAATGAAAAGTCTCCAAAGTCTCTGGAATTTGAAACACTTTGCATAATGTATAAAAAGAGTTGGCTGTAAGAGACAGCCAACTAAGGCCTGTGGGCCAAATCCAGCCTGCTGCCTGCTTTTTATGGCTGGTGAGCTAGGAATTATGTTTATAATTTTAAAATTTTTTAAAAACTTTTATGATACTTGAAAATTATTAACATGAATATTCATAAAGTTTATTGGAACAAAACCAAGATCATTCTTTTACTTGTCTATGGCTGCTGTTCTGTTATAGTGACAGAGTAGCTGCCAAAGAAACTACAGTCCACAAAGCCTGATATTTACTGTGTCTATTTACAGAAAAAATTTGCCAACTCATGGTCTATAATATAGTGTGATATGATGACTGTTCCAGTGTATTGAGGTGTTAGGATAGTTTTTCAACTGTTTTCAAATATTATGGTTTTAGAATTGTTGTCACCTTTAAAAGGAAATAGGTTATCACTGTGTAAGCCTAACAAATTGTTGTTTCTCAGTGTTAGCAAGGAAAATAATCTAGTTTCAAATTACATTGCAGTATAATGAAAAAGATCCATATAGTGTGGATTGAGAGTCTTTTAAAATTACTTGCTATGGCTTAGTAAAATGCACCTCTTCCAATTAGCACATATCACAAAAACCTCACTGTTGTTGAAAGCCATCTTTCTTTAGCATTTGTTCATTCTTTCAGGAGAGTCAAGCAAAGATTTTCAAAATCCACACCACCTGTTTGACCTGAATAATTCATCTTTTTTTTTTTTTTTTTTGAGATGGAGTCTTGCTGTTGCCCAGACTGGAGTGCAGTGGCATGATCTCAGCTCCCTGCAACTGCTGCCTCCCTGGTTCAAGTGATTCTCCTGCCTCATCCTCCCAAGTAGCTGCAATTACAGGCGCGTGCCCACTATGCCCAGCTAATTTTTTGCATTTTTAGTAGAGACGGGGTTTCATCGTGTTAGCCAGGATGGTCTCAATCTCCTGACCTTGTGATCTGTCTGCCTCAGCCTCCCAAAGTGCTGGGATTCCAGGCATGAGCCACCGCGCCTGACCTCATCTTTCATCATCAGTTCACAGGTACAGGATAACTCAATTTATATGCACTGTATATGTTATGCAAAATATTTAGAAATTGTAGACTCTAGATCTCCAGAAAGACTTTGAAGACTTTGATGTCACAAAAGGATGATTTGTTATATGCTGAGCTTGACAAAGATAGGAATGTGAGAGAAAAATAATAGTTTATGAGGAAAGATGAGACTTAAATATATAAAGTTGCATGTTTTAGAATAACTTCTCCCTACGGTTGCTTCTCCCTCTGGGTGTAGACAGGACAGTGTCAGCCATTAGTGAAATAGATACAATGGGTTTGAGGCCAGCAGTTTGGGAGTAGAGGGAAAGAGAAAGAGATGTGCTAGCATCTGTCACAGGCTTTCTCAATTAGGTTTTCAGGAGAAAATGCAGCCCTAATTTCCTGTATCATCTAGAATGGTACTAATTATGTACAATCCTTAGGAGAATGGAGACAGTTGTAACTCAAATCATTGACTCAGTTCTATTCTGTTCAGATGAGCTCAGAGTGCACATAGGAGTGTTTGTAATGATTGAGTTAGAGGAATGAGTTATGCAAACATCTCAGGACAAATGCAGCATAAAAAACATTGCTGTAGTTAACTCTGCAGGGAAATTTCCTCTGAGCTCTTTTAACATTAACTACCTGTACTGTTTTATACTTAACATTCACATCATGCCTTCCCAAACATATTGGGAAGTTCAGCATTAAGTATGTTTCTCAAATACTTAACAACTTCATATAGGAAAGAAAGGTGTAAACAGTGAAGAGTTAGAGCAAAACAATTTTATGATAACTTTATGGTAATTTCAAATTGGATCTGGTTCTCTGTTCCTAAAATAGTGTAATTTTTAATATTTTAAATAATAGGATAATCTGTTTTCCAAGCCTTATTTCCTCCCCTGACATCCAGAATACACACTGGATCCAAGCCTTTCTTAAACTTCAATATGTGTGGAAGACTGACATGCCATATACCAAATGCTATTTAGCTTTAACAGTAGACAGAGATTTTCTGTTATAAAGAATAAGAGCATCAGTAACCAGTGATCACTCATATAAAGCCTTATTATTTTGTGTGTGTGTGTATTAGGTCTCACTATGTTGCTCAGGCTGGAGGGCATGCTGTGATCTTGGCTCACTGCAGCCTTGACCTCCTGGGCTCAAGTGATCCTTCTAAATAGTTGGGACTACAATAGGCACACACCATCATGCCTGGCTAATTTTTGTATTTTTTTGTAGAGATGGGGTCTTGCTGTGTTGCCCAGGCTGGTCTCAAACTCCTGGCGTCCAGCGATTCTCCTTTCTTGGCCTCCCAAAGTACTGGGATTCTAGGCATGAGCCACCATGCTTGGCTGTAAATAAAACCTTACTACTTTTTTTGGAGACACAGTCTTGCTCTGTCCAAGCTAGAATGCAGTGGCATGATCATGGCTCACTGCAGCCTTGAACTCCTGGGCTCAAGAGATCCTCCCATTTCAGCCTACTGAGAAGCTGGGATTATAGGTGCAAACCATTAGACCTGGCTATTATTTTTTAGACTTTTCTTAATTTGATCCAACAAAGTAGTTGCTATAGGAACTGAGTGGTAGAAGGAAAGGTGCTGAAGAAATGAAATAAAGCAACGTGTATACTGTCATGAATAGTCATATAGTAGTTTTTATACTTTTGTTCTTTGGAGTGCCAATACTAGGTTTTATAAAAGTAATTAGTTGAGGGGAGAGAGGGTTGTGTGTTTATTTTATTTTCTGATCTTTACTTAATACTGTGTACAAATTCAGCAAACTATAATTCTGTAACTATTTTTGCTTTTGGCTAACTCCTTTTTTGGAAACATCTTTTTTTTGTACAGGGTGTATGTTATTTTTTTTCTAGCTGCTCTGAATGTGTATATTTTGATTTCTGAATTGAAAAAATTATAGTAGCTTACTTAAGTAGATTTAAAGTAATTAGAACACTTTACTTTTCTGATGTTTTCTGTACCTAAAATTTATCACCACCAGGTTGTGCTAAAACAGCAGGAAATTTTTATATTGTGAGTGACATCCTTAGGAGAATGGAGACAGTTGTAATTATTTCTCTTAATTTTACTAACATTTACTATAAGAATATTCTCTCCCTCTTTTCTCCATTCACAGCTACTCTCCCTCCTCTTCATAACATCAAGCTATCACAGACAAATCTGAAAATGTTACAAGCACAGACTATGTTGTATGTTTTGAAATTTTAAAGCAGTAATGTTCCTTTTAAAATAGAACTTCTGGAAAGAATAAGAATATTAATACATTTATTGCTGTAAATTTGTAAGACTTTTCAAACAAAAAGCAAAACCATACAAAGCTAGTGTCAGTCTCACATTGTTCACAAATAAAGAACTTTGGATAATTTATTAAATCACTGATTATATTTGATATGAAATACATAAAACATACAACCATTCTCTAATACATTTCAAAATGTTTCACTGGTTAAGGAGCCAGTAAATAAAGTTGACCCTAAAAAAGAATTTTAAATAAACTAAACATTTTTTAATCACCTAACATCATTTATATATTGGTTTCTGATTTACATGTGTGATGTCTAAGAAAATCTCTGACTTTATTCTTTTTTGCCATTATTAATTTAAAATTTATCCCATTTTATGTCCTCCTTCCCCAAAATCAGGTATACAGTGGGGAGGACGAAAGGACTCCATACTTTTGACATGGTGACTTTATTATATAGGTTACCGACTGCTAGCCTTCATATTTTTAGAAGGTGCATATTTGATTAGACCCATCTATGAGGTTCTATTTTTTTTTTTTACTGGAAATTTCATGCATTAAATGTTGGGTAGGATTAAGTGATGAGACAGCGGTCTAAATTTCTTAATCATTGAAAAGTATTGAAGTATTACCAACCATCTTACTCATTTCTGTATTTTTTCCCCTAAGTTACCAGTTAGAACAGGTTGTCAGTAGTTGTGTAACTAAGATGAAGAGGAATTTTAGTGTCAGTGGATACTTATTGATGCCAGTAGTTTTTCCAAGATGAAATTTATACTGTGACGATCAGGCAATATTTAGATGGGGGTGATGGAGAATTTTTTAAAGTATAGGAATTTTCTCTTAATGCTGACATAAATAACATCTAATGTTGTAGAAGCCTAGTATCAAATATTAATTGGACTGAAATAGTTCAGAATATTTTCCCAAAACGATTTCCTCCTACTCAGTTTTTACTTTTGCAGAGCTTCTACTTACCATTTGTAATAACCTAAATGACAATAAAGAGAAGAAAAAAAGATTTGAAAATGGTGAAATCACCTTCTTCCAAATATCATTCAGGTGACTAAAATGCAAAACCAAGTACAGTAGACAAATAATAGCAACATTAGAAAACAAGAAATAACACCATCAGTAGAGCAGCAATTTCTAGGTATTTTTGGAAGATAGGAGGGACATAGGGATTGACAGGTGTTTGTTGGTGTCAGTGTGAGCAAACCACGTAGTGTGAGTGAAGCAGAAATGGAGAGGTCTCACCAACTCTGAGTAGTGAGGGCTAGTAACAAAGATTAACCCTAAGATGCATGGAGATGGGTGTGTGGCTGGTTTTTATAGTCCCAGCTACTCAGGAGGCTGAGATGGGAGGATCACTTGAACCGAGAGTTGGATTCAAGCCTGGGCAACACGGCGGGACCCTATCTTAAAAAAAAAAAAAAAAAGCCCTTAAGGTGGTTGGAGAGAAATTAGGGGGTATATTTGGAAAGGGGTAAGTGTGAGTAGACATAAGGTTTGTTTTTTTCTCTCCAGTGAATATTTTACTCAAACTGAGGAAAGTAGAGTGATATGCTAATGTAGGGTAGGTTTTTTTTCAAGCTAGGTGCTGTGATTCTCAACAGTGGCTGAGGAAGATCAACTCTTAATGCATGCAGATACCTGGGCCAGAATCTGGAGGGTGGAACTGGCCTTTTAAAAAAGTTCTTTATGTTAAAAAATGTGGATGTAGTGTTTGTGGGAGTAGTGCTATAACTCAGAGCTTCCCAACTTCCTAAGCTGGCAGTAGTGGCCAATAGTGAATGAATCATGTGTGTGGCAATCTTGCACTTGTTACTGTATGTTATAGCCATCCTAGTGGGTGTGAAGCATCTCATGATTTTGATGTGTTTACATTCGGACTAATGATGTTGACCATTTACGTGCTTATTGGCTACTTGTATGTCTGCAAAATATCTTCCAGTTCTTTGCCCGTTTTGAAATGGGTTATCTCACTTATTACAGAGTTTCAGGAGTTCCTTATATAGACTAGATCTAAGGCCACTATAAAATAAATTAATTGCAAATATTTTCTCCCATTCCAGGAGTTTTTTTCACTTTATTGATGGTATCAGTTGCAGCATAAAAATTTTTAACTTTGATGAGGTCCGGTTTATTTCATTTTATTTGTGCTTTTGGTGTCATATATAAGAGACCATTGCAAAATTTAAGACTGTGAAGATTTACCCCCCATATATTCTTCTGTTTTACAGTTTTAGCTCTTACATGTAGGTCTATCCATCTTGAGTTACTTTTTCTATATGATGTGAGATAGGTGTCTAGCTTCATTCTTTCACCTGTGGATATCTGTTTTCCTAGCACCATTTGTTGAAAAGATTATTCTTTCTCTGTTGTATTGTCTTTATACCTTTGTGAAAAATCAATTGACCACAGATCTTTGGGTTTATATATGAAGTCTCAATTCTATTATATTGATTTATATGTTACCTTTATGCCAGTACCACACTGTCTTGACTACTGTAATTTGTTACAAGTTTTATGATAGGAAGTATGAGATCTCTAACTTAGCTTTTTTTATTTTTTAAGATTGTTTTAACTGTTCTGGATCTCTTCCATATTTATAAGAATTTTAGGATCAGGTTGTCAGTTTCTGTAAAGAAACCAGCTGGGTTTTGATAGGGATATGTCAGGTCTGTAGTTAGACTTGGTGCTTTTGTATATTAGCTTCTAGTATTCTGTGTCATCAGTGGCATCTTCATATTAACTTGCATATGGCAGATTATAAATTTGTTCTCTACATAATTTTGGAGCATGATTGTGGGCTAACCTACTAGTGAGAGTGGCTACTATGCAGCTAATAGTCTTCTGTATTTGTGAAAAGGCAGGAGGAACAGGGCACTCATTGTCTCATGTCAGGATGGAGAGAATTTGGTTGATTCAAGAGGTATTTAAGCCCAGTCCCCTTGCCGAGTCCCTCCGCCGCCACCACGATGATGTGCGGGGTGCCCTCCGCTGCGCAGCCGGCCACCGCCGAGACCCAGAACGTCGCCGACCAGGTGAGGTCCCAGCTTGAAGAAAAAGAAAACAAGAAGTTCCCCGTGTTCAAGGCTGTGTCCTTCAGGAGCCAGGTGGTTGCGGGGACAAACTACTTCATCAAGGTGCATGTCGGTGATGAAGAATTTGTCCACTTGCGAGTATTCCAAAGTCTCCCTCACGAAAACAAGCCCTTGACCTTCTCTAACTACCAGACCAACAAAGCCAAGCACGATGAGCTGTCCTATTTCTGACCCTGACTTTGGGCAGGGTCCTGCCACCAGAAGCCTGGTAATTAAGTGATTCTGCGTGGACCACAGCGTGCACTTGGGATCATAAAATGAGTATCTCCTGGCCGGATGCAGCAGCTGCCCTTGCATTTCTGTTCCTAAATTTCATTGTGTTGATTTTTTCCCCCTTCCAATCAGGGATCTTAATATTTTTTGAAATCTTTCAAAATATTTTCAAAAAATAAAATATATATTAAAAAAAAGGTATTTAACAGGTTGAATCCACAGGACTTAATAACTGGTAGAGTGTGAGAGATAAGATAGAGAACTATAGAAAAGATTATGCTTAAGTTTTTTAGGCAGCCAAGATGGGGAATGTTGAAAAAGGAACTGAATTCCTTCAACTTGATTATTTCTCTACCTAGACCTATAGATTTCTGGTCCCTCTAGGGGCTCAAGAGGTAGGTATCCACAGAGCTCAAGAGGTAGGACAATGCCAGGATTTAGGATGCAGGAAGGAATACAAAAATATGTTAAGGCTGGAAGTGTTGATAGAGTTACTACATTAGGCATAGGCAAGGTTTTATCTGTATGGAGACAAACATAATAGCTCTGAATACATCCACAGAAATCAGAGCTTGCATTCAAGGACATCAATACTACTGGGGACAGAAAGGTGAGGCATCAGTACTGTAAGTGAAGATAGACAACTTGAGACATCAGTGTAGGCAGAAGTTAGGCTGGGGTCTCCAGAATCAGATGTTCAACTGACAGCAAGTGTGAAGGAGGACTTTGTCAGGGAGAACTGGGATGAGTTTCCAGAACCAGGAGAGTAGAATAAATATAATGGCATCTACCTGGAGTCCGAAGTTCTTCCGAACTAATGTTTATCAAAGAAATTTTAAGAATCATCTACAAAACATGTAAAATGGAAATTCCTGAATCTTTCTCTCAGCAGGTCAAAAAGAAGCTCAAGTGATTCTGCCACAAATGGGAATGTTGATCATAATTTAAGAAACACTGATGAAACTATCAAAAAGACCAATTTCATTATGAAATCAGCAGGCTGCTGGGACGTATGTCCTCTTTTGAGGTCTAGGACAAATGCTAATGTATGAATGGAGATTGGGGTTGTCTATCTGAGGTAGAGCTGTTACCGAAAAGGGGATCTTGATCCAGACCCCAAGAGAGGCTTGGATCTTGCACAGGAAAGAATTCAAGATGAGTTGCAAAGTGCAGTGAGAAGAGATAGTTTATTGAAAGCTCCATTACAGAGTAGGGGTCCTCAGGAAACAAGCAGAGGAATGCACTGTCTTTAAATTTTTCTTATATGGGGATCTTCTCTATGTAAAGACTAAGATGTGTGTACAGGCAGATAATGCTGATAGCATGACCAAATTTAGTCCTTTATTGATTTAAAGAACTCCATCCTTGGCCAGGTGCAGTGGCTCACGCCTGTAATTCTAACACTTTGAGGGGCCTAGATGGGTGGATCATTTGAGGCCAGTTCAAGACCAGCCTGGCCAACATGGTGAAACCCCATCTCTACTACAAAATATAAAAATTAGCCAGGTGTGGTGGTGCACACCTGTAATTCTAGCTACTCAAGAGGTTGAGACAGGAGGATCGCTTGAACCAGGAGGCGGAAGTTGCAGTGAGCTGAGATCATGCCATTATACTCCAGCTTGGGTGACAGAGCAAGACTCCATCTCAAATAAATAAGTCAATCCATCCTTGACATCTTAGTGTGTAAGTGCATCAAAGCATTATTATAATTCTTGGAAGCATATATTGTTATGGGTATTGGGACATTTGGACTTTGTCTTGTAGGAGTTTATTCTCACAGGTGTCTTGAAGCTGTTTTCTTAGCTGTGAACATCTTAGGACCATGGGTCATGACTGGGAAGTTTAAGATGGAGTTGATTTTAAAATGTGTCACTCTGGCTTTTCTAGGCTTCTGCTTCCCTAATTCAGTCACAGTAGATAGATCTTTGGCGAGTCATATCCTGTCATCTTCTAAATCAGGGTTTCTTCTCCTGGTTGTGGGGGAGGGAGGGTAGAGCAGTTTGCTTAAGAACATTTGGCATTATTCTGAGAAATACATGATTGTCATGACTGGGGAGGGTACTACTGGCATCCAGTGGGTAGAGAGGACAAGGACACTGCTAAACATACAGCATGTGCAGAGTTCTCTCCACAGTAAAGAATTGTCCAGTCCCAAACATCATTCTTGCTGCTGTTGAGAAAACCTGCTCCGTATCCTGAACTGACATAGGATCTTGTAGTAAAGAGAATAATTGCTTGCCAGATTCAAGAGACATGGCTAAGGTAGTTAGAACTACTCTTTTTCTTTGGAGTTGCTAAAATTAGCAATATCCACACCACTAATGAAAGAAATACTAAACTGTTTGGAAAGAAGGATTAGGGAGAAGGGTATGCAGTGAGACAGGAAAGCCTGAGGAACTCCCCTGAAGTCTTTTCCATGAATACTGATCCATGAGAGCAACTGTATGCATGGTATTAGAAATCCTTGTGAAAAGTGACCAGTAAAGAGAGGTCCAATTTTCTAACAGTTTAGTTCAGAAAGCACTCATATATTGTTTAGCTTCTTCTTTGCCTTGGGAAGTAAACCAGGATTATTAGTTTCCTGTGGCTGCTGTAACAAATAACCAAAAATTTGGTGACTTCAAACAATGTAAATTTATTCTCTAACTGTTCTAAAGGCCAGAAGTAATCCTGGCTCCTGCCTGTAATCCTAGCACTTTGGGGGAACGGAGGCAAGAGGATCACTTCAGCCGGGGTTTTGAGACCAACCTGGGCAACATGGTGAGACCTCATCTCTAGTAAAAATTTAGCTAGTAGTGATGGTGGTACACACCTGTATTCCCAGCTACTTGGGAGGCTGAGGCAGGAGGATCACTTGAGCCAAGGTGTTTGAAACTTCGGTAAGCTCAGATTGCATCACTGCACTCCAGCCTGGACAACAGAGCTGGACCTTGTCTTAAAAAAATGAAAAAAGTAATTTTTAAAAGGCCAGAAGTCAAAAGTCAAGTGTCAACAGAACCACAATCCTTGTGGAGGCTCTAGAGAAGAATCTGTTCTTTGTTTCTTCCAGTTTCTGGTGCTGTTAGCATTCTTTGGCTTGTGGTGGCTGCAGCTCCCTCTGCTCTGTTTTTATATCTCATTTTCTCTATGTGTCCCCAAACTCAATCTGCCTTTCTTTCCCAAGGATACGTGTGATCTCATTTAGGGTCCTCCCAGATAATCAGAAAAAAACCCTTCATCTCAAGAAACTCAATCATATCTTTTGCTTTATAATAATACTCATGGACTGCAGGAATTAGTGTGCAAGCATTTCCTTCTTGGGCCTACCATTCACCTCACTATACAAAACAACAATGCTACCCATTTTATAGATTATTTACTAGGTCATGTGGCTAATTAATTGTGGAATTTAGCATTGAGCTCAAATCCTGGTTTTATCTTTCATCACTGTAGGGTATATCATAACAAGAAACAAAGATGAGGGAAAAAACAGGCACAAAAATAGAAGAGAGGAGAAATAGGGATTTGGAAAACAAGCTGCAGACTTGAGATTCTGGACAGTAAGCAGAAAAAAAATACTGCTGTGAAAAATGTCAGCAGTGAGCCCAGGGACAATTGCCAATTAATTTTTCTTTGTCACCACTCCTCCAAGTGGTTTAGCGTTCCAGGCCTGGGACTGTCTACAGTTGAAATAATCCCACTTACTTAAAATAATTTGTTTAGTGCCTTGCAGTTAATGTTTCATCGTTGGAAGGCACCATAGTTATTGGCCCCTCTAACATTTTTTTAAGCTTAAGTTCTGTAAGACCTTGTTGGTTTGTATTTTTATAAATCTTGCAAATAGTTAAACCTTGCCAGATGACTAACACTCCCAGGTAAATGGTAAACAAAGTGGCTTTCATTTTTTCTACTCCTTGTCCAACATTTTCCTCCTGAGAGAGACCACTGTCTTTAGGCTAGCTCTTCACAACCTTGCTGGACATTAGAGTTGACTGGGGGAGTTTATTTATTAGTTTATTTTGAGACAGGGTCTTGCTCTGTTGCTCAGGTTGGAGTGCAGTGGCACAAAGAAGGCTCACTGCAGCTTCAACTTGCTGGTCTCAAGAGAGTCACCTCAGCCTCTCATGTAGGAGGAACCACAGGTGCGTGCCATCATGCCTAGCTAATTTAAAAAAAATTTTTGGTAGAGGTGGGGTCGTGCTATGCTGTCCAAGGCTGGTCTCGAACTTCTGGGCTCAAGCAATCCTGTCTTGGCCTCCGAAAGTGCTGGGAGTACAGGCATGAACCACTGTGCCCAGTCTCACCAAAGGAACTTTAAAAAAAAAACAGTGTTCCTGCCCACCTCAGACAAGTAAAGAGCCAGAGAGTACGACCTGAGAAAAGGGGTTCTCAAATGTTTTTAATTTTCAAATTCACATTTTAAAGTGGACATATAACATTTTGCATTTGAAGAGACAGGATTAAATTTCTAGCATACTGGAAATACTGACTTAAAAAGATAAAAGTCAGATCACTTTTGTATAATAGGTTCTAAATACCATAGTTAACATACTTCTTATTATTCGGAAATTTCCCATCTTTCTATTCCACAGCTCCTATAGAATTTTATCCTACTAATGTAATATATTTTCATGCTTGGATGTCTTTTATTTATTAACTTACCATAACTATTCTGGAGCAAGGTATCTATATAAATTTGGATTTAACTTTTAAGATATCCTGTGTCTTCAGGCTTTAAGTACTTAAAATTTCTGCATAGTGTGATCATTGTAATTGTTGAATGCACTTGATAAAAGCAACATTAATGTATTATAATTTGGTGGGAGGTATAAAAACCGAATTTCTACCTATCAGTGAAAGAATAAACTAAATAAGGTGTATTTATATGATAGAATGCTCAGCAATAAAAAGTCAGAAATTACTCATATGTACACTAGCATGAACAAATTTCAAAAATGTGCTAAAAGAAGCCAGACATAAAAGAGCATATACTGTAGGATTCCATTTATATTAAAACACTAGAAAATGCAAACCAGTCGTAAGTGGCAAAAGCAGACCATTAATTCCCTGGGACTGGTGTAGATGGAGTGACACACTGCAAAGCATTGTGAGGAAACTCTTAGGGATGATGGAGATGTTCTGTAACTTGAGTGTGGTGGTGAGTTCAGAGTGTAACCATTTATCAAAATTTATTGACTTGTACGGTTTGAATGAATATGGCCTATTGTACATAAATTACACTTCAATAAAGTTATACGTTTTAGGTTTTTATAAATATTAACTAGAAAGTGAAATTGCATTGGAAATATGCAGAAGAATAAATCTTTACTCAAAGCAGTAAAAGTCTGTCACTCATTTTTATAAAAGTCACTCATTCTTGAACCAAACCTATTAGTGCTGCTACAGATTCACTCCCTGTCCTCAAGTCTGACCTTAGTTCCTAGTATTCTACCCGTAACTTTCTTCCTCACCTCTGCTATTTTTCACACACATCAGACCATGTGCCCACTTCTGAGACTTTACTCTGGCTTTTCTTTCTTCCTGTAATTCTCTTTACCCAGAGATCTGTAAGTGTCTCTCCCTTATTTTTCCTTTTAAGTCTTTTCTCAAATATCATACTTCAAAGAGGATCAGGATCACTCTAAACATCTTTTGACACAGCAACATGTATCTCCACGTCCACACTCCCATCTCTTTTGGCTCTTTATTCTGTAGACCTTAACACTTCTAAATACTATATAATTTCCTCATTATGTTTATTATGTATTGCTATTAGGAATTGTATACTCCAGGAGGGCAGAAATCTTTGTTCTCTAATGTACTCCTGTACCTAGAATTCTGCCTGGCATATACTCAGTACTCAGTAAACACTGAATTTTAAAAATGAGCGAAAGTAGACTTAAAATGAAACACTTTTCGTGTTAATATATATGTGAATCAATAAGATCGCTTGTTATACATTTTCAGCCCTTCTCGGGACTTCTATGAGGGTGCTCTGTCTAAAACAAAAACAAAAAAAAACCTTCAAAGAGGCGGATTCAATGTTTTTGAGACAAAACCAGCAAGTTATAAACTATAGGATTCCGGAGCACTCAAAATTTTCATTTGATGAACTTCAGTGTTAGCACAGAATCTTGGATGTGAAGCAGGGTTTTATAAGGCTGAGCACTTGCTCTTCCTTCCAATGAGAACACCATCCTTAGGGGGAGAAGTAAATTTGATGAAAATTAAATTCAGGATGGTTGTACAGATGTGTTGAGTTGCCCAGCTGGAAAAATAGTACCACTACCTGGGGGAAAACACTTCTTACAACTTCTAAATAGATGGTTCTTCAAATGAATTGAAGGAGTACACCAAATTGAAGCAGCATAGGAAACTGTAGCAGGAGGGGTTGAGGGTAGTCAGTTAACCTTCCTTTTGCCACAGGGCTTCTGTCTGTCACATTTCAACTCCTTTGGACAGCACAAGAGCTTTATGCTTTCAATCACTGACACCTGGCTTGTCAGTGCCTTTATCACTTCCAAATCAGAGGAATGTTCACCTCTGACAAAAGTGTCATAGCTTAGGTAGATTTGTTGAATTTGGATTTAGCACCCAAAATGGCAGTAGGAAGTCAGAACTGGGTTAGAAGAAACTGGCCAATTGTGGGTTTATGGTCGGCATTCAAAGGGACTACCGAATTCAGGACTAGATTAAGTAGATAGCAGTTTCTAGATAGTCCAATCCAATGGCCCAGTTAGGGATGGGGTAGAGGTGAAATGTGCAGGTTTCAGAGAGAATGCAGGCAACAGGCAATACTCAGAGACAACTCATAGTAACAGTAATGGCTCACGAAGCCAGGCAGTGACGAAGGGAGACAAACACCAGAGAAGGTTTCTAAGCCAAAGGCATGGCAAGATGTCAAGAAGACCAGAGTTCAAGAAAGGGCCCCGGTTCCAGCAGGGCCATCTAGACAATGTGCAGTTGCTGGGACTGACCTGGAGTAGTAAGAGATGTTGGATAAACTCTTCAGAGAGCCCTAGGAAAGAATGGAGCATTCAGATTTTGAGATTTCTTACTCTTCAATTTAGGGGAGTATGGAGAGATTTCAATTCAAGATGGATTTCAATTAGGGTCAGAAGTCCAAGTTTGAAAACAATATTGACAGTCAACATGGCATAGTAATAGTAGCACCTGCCTTATGGTCCTGTTTTGAAGATCAAATTAGTTAATATGTATCAAGCATATAGAACAATACTGTACGTCATAAGCATTAAATATCAGGAAATCTGTGTCTTAGAACAAAATTTTGTGAACTTGCAGTCCTAAATTCTTACTCATCCAGTATGTAACAAAGGTGACAGTGTACTTTTCTGAATAGAATATCAGTCTTGGAAATTCAGTGAGTAATCAGACCTTTTTCAATTGTAAATGAAACTACAAATATTGGTGGATTTGAAAAATATGACAGAACTGATGAAAAATGATAAATATCAACATAGAAAAAATTATAAATGTTGCATGTATATGTGCATTTCTATTTTATCTGAATCCAAAAATAACATTAAAAATTAAAAAGTGACTGAGCAAGGTGGCTCATGCTTGTAATCCCAGCACTTTAAGAGGCCAAGGTGGAAGGATTGCTTGAGGCCAGGAGTTTGAGACCAGCCTGGGCAACATAGTGAGACCCAGGGTCTGCAAAAAAATTAGAAGGAAAAAAAAAAAGCCAGATGTGGCAGCACGTGCCTCTAGTCCCAGCTACTCAGGAGGATGAAGTGAGAGGATCTCTTGAGCCTGGGAGGTCAAGGTTATGATGAACTATGGTCACACCACTGCCCTCCAACTGAGGTGACAGAGAACTAGTCAGCCACTAATAATAATTATTTAAAAATTAAAAAGTAAACATGGAGAATATAGAGATGGCAAGAGACAACTAACTAATACTGAAAAAGACTAAGAAACAATAATTGACAGAACAATGAAGTTATAATACACACTGTGTACATGCACATGAACTATGGTATATATAATACATAGAATTGTATGAAATTATATGAATGATCATTTGAGGATATATCTATTTCAAATTGGTCTCTGAGAAGAAAGCGGTCATTATATAAGCAGAAGTAGATAAAACACCCTTAAGCTATAAACTGGGCAACAAATTGTTTTATGCTTATAAATTCATCTTTCTATCTGAATAAATCTGGGAGACCAGAAATTACTTCTGTTGTGGTTTTATTATAAGGATTAGAAAATGATATTGATATCCTCATGCTCAAAAGAACCAAAATATAAAATCTGTGGAAAGGGCTCTTGCTTCCATAAGCAAATTTAGCAGTAGCCACTTTTCAGGGCCCCTGTGAGCTTGATGTTGAAGCCAAATCACCCAGCTAGATTTTCCTCTTATAGATCCTGGAGTGGACTGTGAGGAGGCTTTAGTTCACTTCAGGTGCTGATTCTATGGTCATTATGGCATGGTTTCCCAGAGATTGGTCCAAGGATCTGCCACATTAGCATTACCTGGTGTTCTTGTTAAAAAACGCACCAGTTCCAGAGCCCAATCCCAGATTTATTGAGTCACAATCTCTAAAGATATATTCCTTAAATCTTCATCTTCAACAACCGATCCAGATGATCCTCATGTTCACTAAAATTTAAAATCTACTATACTAGAGTACATATATATGCTTCTTCCTCAGCTAAGGCTGCCCAGTTCAGGTATAGCTCAGTATCCAATAGACTGAGGCTGAAGGCATGAGAGGCTAATGGCAAGCTGGATTAGACTGCTCACCTTTCATCCAGCAAATATCCTTTCTAGGCCTTCTTCTTACATTATTAACCTCCAGTGGTAATATAAAAATAGGTTTGTTCTTTTTCTGGTGAGGTTATTGTTATTTTATATATTGGGACATAGGGGGCTTCTTTAAAAAAAAAAAAAAAAAAGACTGCATTGTATTCCATTTAATGGCTGTACTATAACTTTTTAAAAACGGGTTTCCAAACTGTTGGCATTACAGAAAGTGGTACAACAAATAATCTTTTCTAAATTTTTTATTTGTATTATACTTTAAGATCTGGGATACATGTGCAGAACATGCACGTATGTTACATAGGTAGACATGTGCCATGGTGATTTGCTGCACCCATCACCCCATCATCAACCCTTTTTAAGCCCCCATGCATTAGGTATTTGCCCTAATGCTCTCTCTCCCTTTGCCCCCCATGCCCTGACAGGCCCTGGTATGTGATGTTCCCCTCCCTGTGCCCATGTATTCTCATTGTTTAGCTCCCACTTATGAGTGAGAACATGTGGTGTTTGGTTTTCTGTTCCTGTGTCAGTTTTCTGAGAATGAAGGCTTCCAGCTTCATCCATGTCCCACAAAAGACATGAACTCATTCTGTTTTATGGCTGCATAGTATTCCATGGTATATATGTGCCACAGTTTCTTTATCCAGTCTATCACTGATGGGCATTTGGGTTGATTCCAAGTCTTTGATATTGTGAACAGTGCCACAACAAATATACATGTGCATGTGTCTTTATAACAGAATGATATATAATCCTTTGGATATAAACCCAGTAATGGGATTGCTGGGTCAAATGGTATTTCTGGTTCTTGATCCTTGAAAAATCTCCACATTGTCTTCCACAATGATTGAACTAATTTACATTCCCACCGACAGTATAAAAGTGTTCCTATTTTTCCACAGCCTTTCCAGCATCTGTTGTTTCCTGACTTTTTAATGATCACTATTCTAACTGCTGTGAGGTAGTATCTCATTATGGTTTTGATTTGCATTTCCCTAATGACCAGTGGTGATGAGCTTTTTTTCATGTTTGTTGGCCTCATAAATGACTTCTTTTGAGAAGTGTCTGTTCATATGCTTTACCCACTTTTTGATGGGGTTTGTTTTTTCTTGTATATTTGTTTAAGTTCCTTAGAGATTCTGGATATCAGACCTTTGTCAGATGGGTAAATTGCAAAATTTTTCGCCCATTCTGTAGGTTGCCTGTTCACTCTGATGATAGTTTCTTTTGCTGTGCAGAAGCTCCTTAGTTTAATTAGATCCCATTTGTCCATTTTGACTTTTGTTGCAATTGCTTTTGGTGTTTTTGTCATGAAATCTTTGCCCCTGCCTATGTCCTGAATGGTATTGCTTAGGTTTTCTTCTAGGGCACATAATCTTATACATGTTATTTTGCACCTTTATGAATACATCTATAAGATAGATTTCTTAAAGTGGAATGTTAGATTAGAGGTATATGAATCTGTATTTTTTTAATCCATTGTGTCATGTTGCCCTCCAGTGTAGTACGTTCTTTTTAAATGACTACATATTGTTCTATGGTAGGGATTGCT